TAACCGTTTAATGATAATGTTATTAAACTTATCAGAAGATACGAAAAAATTTTACATAAAATAAATAGACAACACTTGTCTATATTATTTAATGAAACGTGTATAATATATATATATATATATATATATATATATATATATATATATAAGGAGAGAGAGAAGGATAGAAAGAGATTGATAGATAGATAGATCTGAAAACAATGGAGATAGATATATAGATAGATCGATCTGAACAGACTGGCGATATATATATATATATATATATATATATATATATATATATATATATATATGAAAACAATGGAGATAGATATGTTTAATGGTTGTTTCAGTGAAAGGTAAAAAGTTTTCAATTTCAAATCTTTTTATTTGTATCCCCTTACTTCTTAAAATATCGGCCAGAATTTATTTGTGAAATTTTCGTGAGACTTTCTACTTACCATTCTTGCATCGTTAATTTCGTTTAATCTCTAAAATCTATCCACGATCCGCCTTGATAAAGGTTGATCGGAAAATTGATTGCTGATGACTTCAGCAGATATACAAAAGCGTAAAGGGGCGTAAGGCAAGGATGTGTCTTCTCACCGGACCTATTCGAACTATACAGCGAGGCAATTCTGAGAGATTTGGAAACCCTTCCGGGATTTAGCATTGGCGGTCACAATCTTAACAACATAAGATACGGCAGATGACACAATAGCCGACACGGAAAAGAAATTACAAAACCTCCTATAGAAGTTAGCGAGGGAGAGCAAGAAGAAAGGACTAACTATAAACTACAAGAAGACAGAATGCATGGTCATCAGTAAAAGGCATGAGCCCGAAATGCGATTTAAAGGTCAAGGACACTAGAATCAAGCAGATCCGGAAATTTAGATATATGCGAAGCGTTTTGACAGACGACGGCAAGTTGCAACATTGAGATTCGTAGACGTATTGGGATGTCCAAGGGCGCATTCCAATAGCTAGGCAAAGGATTACGAGACAGGAGGATCTCGTTGGTAACAAAGAAAAGAGTCCTGAACTGCTACGTGACATATGTCCTCCTTTACAGCAGCGAATGTTGGACGGTCTCCTCAAAGATGAAGAAGAGACTCGAGACGGTGGAGGTAAGGTTCAACAGAAGGATGCTAAGGATACCATGGACCGAGCGTGTGATCAACGATGAGGTTTTGGAGAGCATGCAAACAAAGAGGAGGCTTTTACTTAACATCAAGAGAAGATAGCTGAAGTTTCTGGGACACGTAATGAGAAAGGAGGGCCTGGAGAATCTGATACTCACAGGTCGAGTAGAGAGCGTTATGGGGTCTACCCCTTTTTCGTACAAGTGGACTCAACCAGTGTGTACTTGTACTGCTGCCGTTAAATACCCAGACTCAGAGTAGTCAGGCGGAGATTGTGATTGAGTTGGAGGTAGAGTAATAGTGTGAGGTAACCGCTTATAGAAGTCACAATTACAAGCACGTAGACTCTAAGGAAGTCCTACGAGACTGAATTTACCCGACTGTATATATATATATTACTAGCAGTAGAGCCCGGCATTGCCCGGGGATGTAACAGTAAGAGATAGATCAAGTATCGACCATCATAAAGACTGAAAAATAAAATTGACAAAGAATATTGTTTAAGGTTGACGGACACACATGTCTTAATTAGTTTTTTTTCTTTTTTTTTTACGAATTGGTCAAATCCAAACTCAAACAAAAACATTGTTTTCAATCGTTATGAGTCTACCGATTGAATAGAATTTTATTATAAACATTTGTCTTGTAAATGGAATTTCTAAAGCATTCTGAATGTAAAAATAAAGAAAAAAATGTGCAAGACAATAAGAAACACTACTTGCCAAAAAAAAAAGTGAAGTTTTGTTGAAATCGGTTGAAAAATGTAGGAAATCCGATCCCATATATAAACGAACACACACACACACACACACACACACACACACACAGACAAACAACCTGGGTTTTATAAGTTTAACTCCATATGAGTTGTCCCCCTTTCATTCTCGTGATGCCTCTTAATCGTGTTTTCAAATTGATTTCGTGCAAAAACAATTGTGTTTTTCCGATTTTTGGCGCTGTTAGAACCACCGCAAGGTAATTTTACGTAGTCCTGTGAAGTTTTGTTGAAATCGGTTGAAAAATGTAGGGAAATCCGATCCAATATATAAACGTACAGACACACACACACACACACACACACACACACACACACACACACACACACACACAACAACTTGGGTTTTATAATAAGTATGATTATTGCTACTAACCGCATTTCTAGATTTACTAAGAGTATTAACAATTGTATTATTACGTCAATACATTTATTTGTTATATTTCATTCCTGCGTTTGTCATTCATTGGAGACTGGATTTCATCTCGGAATCCACAACAGAGAGAAAGCAAGATAAGGGAAAGCAACGCATGACATACTGTTATAGTGGAACACACCTATTCTATAGTTGATAGACTCTCCCACCTATAGTAAGTAGGAGGAGTAAGGGTAACGAGGGGTCGCTCAGTGAGTCGGTCTGAGTTCAGTCTGAAGTCGGACGACCGGCTGACCGGTTGAACTCTCTGCCTTCGGGCGGGGAGGAACCCGAACGAGGCTACGCCGAAGGGCGGAGTCTCTTTCGGAGAGGTAAAGCGACCCTAAACCCGTTTATACGGGTTCAAAGGGCATATTTTTGGCCGAGCCCACGGACTCGGAGATCCCACGTTAAACCGGCCTTGTGCCACATGATGCCCTCATTGGGGGGGGACTAAATATCGCTCAGTGGGTCGGTCTGAGTTCAGTCTGAAGTCGGACGACCGGCTGACCGGTTGAACTCTCTGCCTTCGGGCGGGGAGGAACCCGAACGAGGCTAAACGAAGGGCGGAGTCTCTTTCGGAGAGGTAACGACCCTGAACCCGTTGATACGGATTTAAAGGGCATATTTTTGGCCGAGCCTACGGTTCTGGAGATCCCACGTTAAACAGGCCTTGTGCCATGAGCCCTCAGACAGGGGGACTAAATATCGCTCAGTGGGTCGATCTGAGTTCAGTCTGAAGTCGGACGACCGGCTGACCGGTTGAACCTCTGCCTTCAGGCGGGGAGGAACCCGAACGAGGCTAGGCCGAAGGGCGGAGTCTCTTTCGGAGAGGTAAAGCGACCCTGAACCCGTTTATACGGGTTCTAAATATTTTTTCGAGCCCAGTTGACTCGGAGATCCACGTTAAAGGCAGGCCTTGTGCCACATGATGCCCTCATGGGGGGGGTGACTAAATACCGCTCAGTGGGTCGGCCTGAGTTCAGTCTGAAGTCGGACGACCGTCTGATCGGTTGAACTCTGCCTTCGGGCCGGGAGGAACCCGAACGAGGCTATGCCGAAGGGCGGATTCTCTTTCGGGGAGGTAAAGCGACCCTGAACCCGTTTATACGGGTTTTAAAAGGGCATATTTTTGGCCGAGCCCACGGACTCTGAGATCCAACGTTAAACCGGCCTTGTGCCACATGATGCCCTCGTGGGGGGGGGAGTGACTGAATATCGCTCCGTGGGTCAAGCAGTTAGTGGATGCCGGACGACTGTTAGTCGGATACTAAAGTATCAGCGACCACTACTAGATTACTCTGCGTCGTTACCTATTATATCAAGTTCCTACGTTTTGTACGTCGAACCTATTTTAGGACCGACTTAGTGAAATACAAGCCTCCACTGTGAAACCACTCCATAACACATACCTAGTGGGTTTAAACAAGTGAGTGCCAGAACATGGCCTGGCGGAAGTGGAAAAGGGACACGGTACATCAAGATGCATGGTACAAGGACATTATAACTAAATCATTGTGTCATCAAATAAGACATTCATTTAATTCAAAGGGTGATCAGTAAAAAATGATGCGCCCGAAATGCTATTTACAGGTCAAGGACGCTCATATCAAGCAGTTGCGTAAATTTAAATATCTGAAAAGTGTTCTGACAGATGACGGTAAATACAAAGCTGAGATCTGTAGACGTATTGGAATGGCCAAAGACGCATTCCAAAAGCTAGGCAGTGTATTACGAGACACGAGGACTTCTTTGGTATCGAAGAAAAAATTACTGAACTGCTACGTGATATCTATTCTCTTTCACGACAGGACGGTCTCCTCAAAGATGAAGAGCCTCGAGGCAACAGAGGAATGGTTCTACAGAAGGATGATGAGGATATCATGGACCGAACATGTGAGGAACGTTGAGATTTTGCAGAGGATGCAAACAATGAGGTAACTTATATTTGACATCAGGAAGAGGCTGCTGAAATTCCTGGGATACCTAAAAGAAAGGCGAGCTTGGAGAATCTGATACTCACAGGGCGGGAAAGAGGGTGAAGGGAAAGCAACGCGTGACATACCTCGAGGGTTTAAGCAGGTGGATGACAGAACAAGGTCTGGGAGACGTAGCAAACAGACAGAACTCAATGAGAGCTAAAAGACATAGGAGGGAATGGAGAGTTGAAAAATGTAGGAAATCCGATCCAATATATAAAAATACAGACACACACACACACACACACACACACACACACACACACACACACACACACACAACTTGGGTTTTATAATGAGTATGATTATTGCTACTAACCGCGTTTCTGGATTTACTAACCGTATTACCAATTGTATTATTGTGTAAATACATTTATTTGTTATATTTCATTCCTGCGTTTGTCATTCATTGGAGACTGGATTTCCTTTCGGAAAAGAAAGCAAGATAAGGGAAATCAACGGATGACATACTGTTATAGTGGAACACACCTATTCTTTAGTTAATAGACTCTCCCACCTATAGTAAGTAGGAGGAGTAATAAAAATAAAAATAATGGAAAAAAAAAACCAAAAAAAAAAAAAACCCCAAACCCACAAAAAAACAATTACAAGATGCATTAAATAAAGTAAACGAGATGAAATAACAAGGTTAATAATGACGGTCGTGCCAGTAGTAATCGGAGCACTGGGTACAGCAAAAAAAAAAAAAAAAAAAATGACTATGGCGCCTAGACTGAGTTTAAGCGCAATACTGGACTGGCGGCAAGATCTCATCAATTTACATAGCAAATTTATCGCTAACGTCCTTAAGGAATACAGCACAAAGAAAGAAGAATAGGTCTTCAGTTTTTTTTTTCTTTTCTCATGGAAATATGTAGATAAATTACTATAATTTTCAACAGGTTTGCATTTTCTATTGTTCTGTGTATCGCCAGTACTGTGTGTGTTTTCCCCCTGCTGTTCAGAAACGAAAAACTTTTTATTGCAACATTTTGTTAAAGTTGTTAAGCTCAAATATTACAGTGATGTGGAATTTCTACGGATATTTTGTTATTAAACGTACATATTTTAACAAATGTGGGATAATTTAGATTTTTTTCTTGGCAAAGAATTGAAGAAAATTTGAGTTTTACATCAACTGGCAAAAATTACGACACCGATCAAACGTCTTCTTTAAATACATAAACACTGGAATTTTAAAAAATCAACGAACGGTAATCATCATATTTTTCCTTGATAAATATATATATATATATATTTTTATAATCGGGCATATAGACTAATAGAATAAAGATTGGTAAGATTATTGAAAACCTTACTGATAATTTGAGGTATTAAAATGTCAGAGTCGGTATGATATTTTGTTTTACGATAATATGTGATGAATTGAGATTCCCAGCTGTGTTAAGACGATAAGGCAGAAATATATTGAGTCTTATTAAGGTACGTATGTAGTCACGGTTCATGAAGAAACACAACAGAAAGGTCATTTTGAATGCCCTATCCTTTATAACTATGCTCAAATGTGAATCATTTTCATTCCTTATCAGACGACGAAACCAAACAATACGTTTAACTTTTTCAATCATTAACTTGTGAGTTAAGATTTATGATTCGTCAGAAAATTCAATATGGGGTTATTTCTCGTATAAAATAAGGAAAAGAAAAAATGGGTTTTATGACTTACCTCAAGAAAACTATGACTATTTAAAAAAAACATATGTCAATAAATTATTCTAATTTTCAACAGGTTTGCATTTGTTATTTGCTCTGTGTATCGACAGATGTGTGTGTGTGTTTTCCCGCTGTTCAGATTGCAATATTTTGTTAAAGTTGTTAAACTCTAACAGTTATGTGGAATTTCTACGGATATTTTATTGTCACAGAATTCGCCATGAGCGTATTCAATCATTAACTTGTGAGTTAAGATTTATGATTCGTCAGAAAATTTAATATAGGGTTATTTCTCGTATAAAATAAAGAATAGAAAAAAAATAGAGTTTTATGACTTATCTCAAGAAAACTATGAATATTTAAAAAAAAACATATGTCAATAAATTACTCTAATTTTCAACAGGTTTGCATTTGTTATTTGCTCTGTGTATCGACAGATGTGTGTGTTTTTTCCCGCAGTTCAGATTGCAATATTTTGTTAAAGTTGTTAAGCTCAAACAGTGATGTGGAATTTCTACGGATATTTTATTGTCGTAGAATTTGCAATGTTCAATATGGGGAAAACTGTGAAATTTTCGCGGTTATTTCTCGTATAAAATAAAGAAAAGAAAACAAAAAAGAAGGGTTTTATGACTTACCTCAAGAAAACTTTCGTTGACATAACGGTGTATAAGCGCTGTTTTACCACAACCACAGTCTCCGACTACCACGAGTTTGGATCTCACGCACGTACCGCCGGCTAGGCTTTCATCACACATGTTGGCATATAAAGATATCTCCTGGTAAACGGTTTAACCAGCCAACAACAGGTTATCTGCCGACGATCGTCACGAAGCCAAACTACCGGGGCTCGGCTTTGGATCAGTAGTTAGTAAGTTTCACTTCGTCTGACGCAAATCTGAGAAAGTGGATCACTCGGGGAGAATCAAACTCACTCCTCAGGAGATAATCTTTGCTAGATCAGCTCGCTAGCCGCTAAACCACAATAAAGTGTTCTCTCTCTCTCTCTCTCTCTATATATATATATATATATATATATATATATATATATATATGCGCACGCAGACTCACAAGTGTCAAAGTAACAATATAAAATTGTTGACACCCTTGTAGATGTTCAAATTAACTTAAATGTTGTGGGTTTAATATGTTTAGCTGTTCTTTTGTCAATGTTGCTATTTTTGGAGCTGTAAATTTTATTAAACCGATTCCTCTGGACACTGGAGCGAGAAAATCGTGATGACGTTTCTTTCTTTACCAAATTAGAACCACCAGAAGGTTGGAATAATCAGAACCGTTACTAGGTGGTGAGAAAAATGTCCAGTCTTGAACAATACCAGAAATTGTGATATTGTTATTTTAATTTCTAGTTACACAGGGAACAAGACCGCGGAAATTTCTTTAAATAGAACACGATTCGAAGAATTCGGTAAATTAATATATGGTGAATTGAAAAAAGAAAAAAAAAAAAGAAAAAAAAGTTGCCAGAAGAAATTTCTGACTAATCACGCCTTAAATAATTAATTATTAAAATTTTTAATTAATTTATACTTATGCTTTCAGACAAAAGTATTTCTTTTTTTATTATTATTTTTAATTATATTTGCGTATCTTTAATTAGTTATTTTTCTGCCTTTAAAGATATTTTCGGAAATATATTGCTTTGGTAAAGCTGATTTTGATAGACTTAGGAATTGATCTGAAAGTAGTTTTAGTTTCCGTCAACTTTTTATAATGTCTACATACACACACACACACACACACACATATATATATATATATATATTTTTTTTTACGTCGTTAAATTGAAACAAATGGTTGTCTGAAGTCTTTTGAGGTAACCGTGATTTAAATCTGGATTTTTTTCCCCTTTTTACCTTCTTAGGGAAAGAAAACGATCCATTTTTGATTGTCTTCGTAAAAGTATCGCGTAAGAACTATTGGCGCCATTTTGAATATTTAAATATTTTGCCAATTAGTCATCATCTTCTTCTCGTCTTCTTCTTCTTCTTCTTCTTCTTCTTCTTCTTCTTCTTCTTCTTCTTCGCTTTCTTCTTCACTTTCCTCTTCGACTTGGACGTGTTGATAGTGTATTCTCGAATCCGTTACTTGTTCTACACTCTCTTTTTCCGCTTCCGGGCGGAGTTCGTGTTTGTACTTACGCACTCTCAACTTGGCGATTAAACTTTGGAAGATATTTTCTCCCGGGCATTCCGTGCTGAAATTATAAAAAAAAAAAAAATAAAAAATAAAAATAATGAAAAAAAAAAAACCCCAAAAAAACAATTACAAGATGCATTAAATAAAGTAAACGGGATGAAATAACAACGTTAATAATGACGGTCGTGCCAGTAGATATCGGAGCACTGGGTACAGTAAAAAAAAAATGACTATGGCGCCTAGACTGAGTTTAAGCGCAATACTAGATTGGCTGCGAGATTTCATCAATTTACACAGCAAATTTATTTGAGATAGCGAAATTAACGGAGTCACGGGTGAGTAATAGTTAGCGGCTCGGATTGAGGAATCGGAGAGCCGGGTTCGAATTGGCGTCTGAACCGTTAAATTCACTTACGTGCTAATAACCTTGGGAAATGTATGAGTCGTATTTTTCTCCATCCAGTATGTAAAGAGAAAGAGAAAGAAAGAGAAAAAAAGATGTGAGAGAGAGAGAAAATAAATAGAAAAGGAGGAGAAAAGAGAAAGAGAAAGAAAGAGAGAGAGAAAAAAGGCAGTGAGATGTGAGAGAGACAGAGAGAGAAAAATAAATAGAAAGAGTGAGTGAGAAAGAGAAAGAGAGAGAAAGAGAGAGAAAGAGAGAGAAAAAGACAGTGAGATGTGAGGGAGAGAGAGAAAGAGAGAGAAAAATAAATAGAAAGAGAGTGAGAAAGAGAAAGAAAAAGAAAGAGAGAGAAAAAGACAGTGAGATGTGAGGGAGAGAGAAAGAGAGAAAAATAAATAGAAAAATGAGAAAGAGAGAGAGAGAGAAAGAGAGAGAAAGAAAAGAGAGAGAAAGAGAGAGAAAAGAGAGAAAAATGAGAAAGAGAGAGGAGAAAAGAAAGAGAGAAAAAAAGTGAGATGAGAGAAGAGAGAGAGAGAAAAATAAAAAAGAAAGAGAGAGAAAAGAAAGAGAAAGAAAGAGAGAGAAAAGAGAAAAAGACAGAGAGATGAGGGAGAGAGAGAAAGAGAGAGAAAATAAATAGAAGAGAAAAGAAAGAGAGAGAAAGAAAGAGAGAGAAGAGTGAGAGAGAGAAAGAGAGAGAAAAAATAAAAGAAAAGAGAGAGGAGAAAAGAAAAAGGAAAGAGAGAGAAAGAGAGAGAAAAGACAGTGAGAAAGAAGAGAGAAAAGAGAGAGAGAAAGAGAGAGAAAAGAAAGAGAAAGAAAGAGAGAAAGAGAGAGAAAAGACAGTGAGATGTGGGGAGAGAGAGAAAGAGAGAGAAAATAAATAGAAAGAGAGAGAGGAGAAAAGAAAAGAGAGAAAGAGAGAGAAAGAGAGAAAAGACAGGAGATGAGGGAGAGAGAAAGAGAGAGAAAAATAAATGAAAAGAGAGAGAGAAAAGAAAAGAGAAAGAAAAAAAAAAGAGAAAAAGACAGTGAGATGTGAGAGAGAGAGAAAAGAGAAAATAAATAGAAAAGAGAGAGAGAGAGAAAGAGAGAAAAAAAGACAGTGAGATTTGAGGGAGAGAGAGAAAGAGAGAAAATAAATAGAAAGAGAGAAAGAGAAAAGAAAGAGAGAAAAAGAGAAAGAGAGAGAAAAAGACAGTGAGATGTGAGGGAGAGAGAGAAAGAGAGAGAAAAATAAATAGAAAGAGAGAGAGTGAGAAAAGAAAGAGAAAGAAAGAGAGAAAGAGAGAAAAGACAGTGAGATTTGAGGGAGAGAGAAAAGAGAGAGAAAAATAAAAAAAAGAGAGTGAGAAAAGAAAGAGAAAGAAAGAGAGAGAAAGAGAGAGAAAAAGACAGTGAGATGTGAGGGAGAGAGAGAAAGAGAGAGAAAAATAAATAGAAAGAGAGAGAGTGAGAAAAGAAAGAGAAAGAAAGAGAGAGAAAGAGAGAGAAAAAGACAGTGAGATGTGAGGGAGAGAGAGAAAGAGAGAGAAAAATAAATAGAAAGAGAGAGAGAGAAAGAGAAAGAGAAAGAGAGAGAGAGAGAAAAAAGACAGTGAGATGTGAGGGAGAGAGAGAAAGAGGGAGAAAAATAAATAGAAAGAGAGAGTGAGAAAGAGAAAGAGAGAGAGAGAGAAAAAAAGGCAGTGAGATGTGAGAGAGAGACAAAGAGAGAGAGAAATAAATAGAAAGAGAGAGTGAGAAAGAGAAAGAGAGAGAGAGAAAAAGGCAGTGAGATGTGTGTGTGTGTGTGTGTGAGAGAGAGAGAGAGAAGAAAAAATAGACAGTGGATTTTACAAGTTCTGCCGTGTTTCTAAAAGTTCAAATCCTGTTTTTTTGTTGGCACATACTCGCCCTATTCTTCTGCCCTTCCCGCTTCTTGTCTGTCTTCAGTTTGCCAATTCTTGAAACTTCATCTGAGGATTTTGCCATTCCACTGTCTGATTCATACACTAACAGAATGCCAAACTAAACACTTGCCCATGACTCAAGTTATTTTTTCGATAGCGTCTGCTTCACTGAAAAATAGCAGCAACAACAAAAACAACAAAACCCGATGTAATGGCATATATACAGTTCCCTCCAAAATTATTGGGACGGCAACACCAATTACTTTGTTTTTGTTGTTCACCGAAGGCATTTGTGTTTAAGATCAAAAGATAAATATGACAAGAGTTAAAAAAATTCAGCTTTTAATTGCTGGTATTTACATTTAGATGTGGTAAACAAATGAGAACGTAGCCCGTTATGTTTGAAACCAATCGTTTTTTCAAGTGAGCAAAGCTACTGGAAAACGTGACTGACAGGTGTTTCTTGTTGCCCAGGTGTTGCTTTTTAAATTGATTGCTTAAACATTAAATAGATCCGAATGACCACTCTTAGTTTTCAGTCTTGGGCTTCACCTCTAAAGGCTGCATTTCTTGTTAAAAGGGATAGACCTACATGAAGATGAGAGAGGGCTGTCTATGGGAGAAAAGCAAGCCATTTTGACGCTGAGAAAAGAAGGAAAATCGATCAGAACCATTAGACAAACATTGGGCATAGCGAATACAACACTTTGGAATGTCTTGAAAAATAAAGAAACTACTGATGTACGGAGCAACAGACACAGAACAGGTCGGCTAAGGAAAACAACATTTGATGACAGAAAAATTGTGAGAGCTGTTGGGAAACACCAAAAAACAACAATCAGTCTCAGGAGTGAACGTTTCACAGGCCACCGTCCGAAGAAGACTTTGAGAGCAATAATATAGAAGCCATACAACAAGATAAATGCTCTGTTTATAATAAAGAGCATTAACAACATTTACCGGTCTGAATGTCCGAGAAATTGTCATAGAAATATGCGTCCTCCGACAGGAATCAAACCTGAATCTTTATAGGGAACCTTCATATAGCCTGACGTGCTTTTACCGATTTCGCCACAGAGGAGCGTTTCGGCTAGGAAGGTTGATTTTACTGTTTTTAAACTACAATTTTCCATGATTTTCTCACGTACATTCATATCTGCTCGATGCGTATTGAAGAGTAATTATACATTCTTATTGCTTAAAGTAGAGTCAGAGAGTGTAATAAGATATTTGTAGAATTCCAGCAAAATATCTTTAATCATTTCTAAGATACAACGGTTCAGAGCTTAATCATACAATTGAACACTCTTGTTGTTACAGGATCTGGACTATGATTTGGACAATTTTGCTGTTACACCCAGTATATATATATATATATATATATATATATATATATATATATATATATATATATATATATGAACTTTATTTCAATCCTTCATGAGCTTCTGATCCTTAGCTATGATTAATTAATGATGAACATGTCATTTTCGTTTATGATCGATTTCATCAGAATTCTTCTGTTAAGCTTGGAGAGTAATTATACATTGTTATTGCTCAATAGAGAGTCCAGTAGAAACCTCGGAGAATTCCAGTAAGATATCTTTAATCATTTCTATCATACAACGGTTCAGAGCTTAATCTAACATCTGGCCAATTTTGCTGTTACACAATTCGGACAATTTTGGTGTTACGCGCTATATATATATATATATATATATATATATATATATATATATATATAATTGTGTATTTGGGTATCAGTCTCAATTTTATAAAAGTTTGATTAAAAACGACTGGAAAATTACTGCCGTTATAGTTTTATTTAATCAGAAATTAAACAAAAAACTTAAACGCAGTAACTTGTCAGTCATTTCAATAAAACTTGTATAAAAGAAGGGTTGTTACCCAAAAATCTTAACCGCTGTACCTCGTCATTTGTTTTTAATCAAACTTCATATATGTATATGTATATATATATATATATATATATATATATATATATAATATAATTAATCATTTTTTTTTTTCGTATGGATTAAAAAATACATTTCTTGGCATGATAAAGAAAAGTATAT